GGTCTCGCTCTTGCTCAGGCTGGTTTCGAACTCCTGAGCTCAAACGATCCGCCCGCCTCGGCCTCGCGGAGAGCTAGGATTACAGGCGTGAGCCACCGCTCCTGGCCCCACTGTCCATCTTCTAACAATTTTGTTCTAAAGATGGAGAGAGGAAATGTTTGGTGCTAGTGCCATGGCTAGCATCTGTCCTCTTCAAAACCCGTCTCTGCTGTCTGAATAACTAGGGCTTGTTTTTCTACTACAGATGTGCTCTTTTCCAGTCTTGAGGCTTAAAAAAAATGTATTAAGAGAGCTCCTTCTTTTCTGCATGGGCACAAGTCTTTTATGATAGTTCGAATTTCCGTGCACCTAAAAATGCATGCACGTGAATAATACATGAGACAGGGTTGGGGTCCATGGCAGGAAGGAGCTTCTATTGTAAGATGATGCTGTCAGGGCTGCCAGGACAGAGAGGAACACAAGGTGTGCACCTGCCCCAAGTCACACAGCCCATGACAACTGGAACCTAGAGTGAATGTTTCTCTTGTTCTCTGGTGGTTTCCTATGAGAGGTTGGCTTAAGGAGGGCCCGAGCATGAGAGTGGATTGGAAGTGACTGAAGGATTTATTTATTCGTTTTAGTTTTAGAATTTCTTTCCTTCAGATTGCAGGTTTGGGGAGGGCCTCTGGGCAGCTTTTGGAGCCCCAGCTGACAGCTTTGTTTTGTGCAGGAGTGCAGTGGGGTGGGGAGAGAGGGCCATTTGTAGTCCTGTACCTTCCCTTTTGAGCAACTCTTGAAGCATCAAGACTGAGCAGCAGGAAGGCCTGTGGGATTAGGGGTTGAAGCTGGGGGTTGAAGGTTCAAGCAGTGGCCAGTCCCTTGCTCCTCTCAGGACGGTCCACATACCAGCATCAACTTCCTCTGGAGGCTTGTTAGAAATGCAGAGTCTCAGGCCTCACCGCAGACTGGCCGAATCAGAATGCCCATTTTAACCAGGGACTTGTAAAGACACTGGGTGATTTGTAGGCATGTCAGAATTGGAGAAGCCCTGAGCTAGTTAAGTCTCCTCGCCATTCCTGGTCCGTGAGAAACAGGCAGCCACGTCTCTGGGAAGAAAGTTCTCTAGCAACGGTGGCCACTGTTTCCAGGTAGAGAATGGGTAGCAGGGAGAGGGAGAGCTCTACCACAGAGAGCACTTACTTCTCAGCGTGGCCGAGTGGGAAACAGAGGGGCGGAAGCCCCTGAGTGAATGTGGTCTGCGTCTGTTGATTAGACCTGCTGCTTGTCCCTTCCTTCCGCAGTAGCCCCTTGTGGTATGGCTTCTGCTGAGTGAGGCAGCGTTAAGTACTTTGTCCTTTGTGTAGTTGGAGACCCCCATTCCAGGGAGTCCCTCAGCTTCCTCCACATCCCCACATCTTAGCCGCTGAGAGCCTGTGGTGGGGGGGGCGGCTGTTGTCATCTGATAGCGAAAGTGGCAGTCCTGTTGGGACTGTTGCCGCACGTTCAAAGTGAACACATGCTTTAGTTCTAAAAAACAGATCACAAATATGGAAACCCATGCCTATGTAGACCCGTGAAGGCCAAACTAGAAGGGACAGGATGGATGGGAGAGAAATGAAGCAGGCAGCAACAGGAGATGCCTTTTGGTTGATGAGACAGAAGACGGAAGGGGACAGACAGTGGCCAACACAGAGTGGAGGTTTCACACTCTGGTGGCTAAGAGAAAGAAGTGGCATTAGCCGAGACAAGAAAACTGGATTAGGAGCTAGTTGGGGGAAAGTTGGTGAGTTTGGGCCGGGATTTGAGAAGCAGGTAGGCGGGATCAGATGCAGCTAGAGAGTGGCCAGGACATGAGAGAGATTTTGGGTCCCACCTGAGTAGATGGAGTGGCTTGGAGCTCTCCGTGCATCTGTCACAGATCAGAAAGTGGGGTTCCGATGCCTTCCATCGGTTGTGTGGTTCCTGACCCTGTCTTTTGGAGCTACTGAGACTGTTTGGTGACTCTGATCTTGCCCCACTGCCTTGCATTATTCAGGCATTTCAGAAGTGAGATGCCACGTCTGTAAAGACTGTGAGAAAGTAAAAGTGCCAGACAGCTGCTGAAGTGGGGACACCCTGTGCCCGAGAATTGCCAGCTAATTGCAGCGTCTCAGTGGTTCAGGAGACCAGAAAGGGCCACTGGGGCTCCTAGCAGGGATCTCCTTGGTCCTCACTGGATCTTTTTCAAAACCTTGCTTCTGGAGATGACCCTTGGCTTAGTCATTTAGCTTCAGTGACAGTTCCTAATGTGGGCTACAGCCAGTTTCTGAGTTCCTGGATGCAGATTTTACTTTGGATATTATTGTTGGACAGAATTAGAGTTTTTCCCTTCCTAAAACTGAATGAATAAGCTGCAAAGTCGGGAGGTGGGGATTTGAGTCCCAAAGGATCCTCTTGGGTGTGTTTTCCACTGCCGTCATTCCTGAATGTCTCCAGCGTGGTCCCGTGGCCCTGTGCCCATGTCCATAAGGATTCTGTCCTTTCGCTGTCTTCTCTAAGGTGGGCTGAAGGCAAATACATTCTGAGGCCCTCCAGGTAGCTATCAGTTGTCCAAGGGGTCCTGCCATCCTTTCTGCTGAGACCCTGGGGCAGAGTGCTAGCAGCTAGGATTCAGATATGGATTGAGTGTGGCTCTGCAGGTGAGCATCACATCAAGGTCAGTGGATTCTGGGTCCCCTTCCCCATCTACCCTCCCATCCCCATCCTTGTGTTTCTCTCCACTGTCTATAGCCTGTTTCTCTGGCTATATTTTTGATTGCCTAGGAAACCATTTTAGCCTGAAATATGATTGGCTGCTTTGCCAGATGGATTGCCCAAGCTAGTGCAGCGTTC